GGGAAGTCGGGGCAGAAGTCATCGTCATGTGCAATTTACCGTTTAAACATATTGAAAAAGCACCTGACGTTTGCCTGTTAATAATGAATAGTTGAATAACTGATATAAATCACTGGAAACCCATCCACACCCCCTGGGCAAGCAATTTATGGCACTTTTTGCTGCACTGTAATAACAATCTAAATGTTAAGTGACGGGAAAAAACTTTTGCAACTTCGAGAACTACAATAAATTCTCCATCAGACCTTAAAGAATATTAGTTTTTCGACTATCTTGCCAGTGGCCCCTCGATGTTGTTTAGTTCTCGTTTCGGTCTCGTCCGGAGGAGTAGTGTTGGCCTCGCTTCCAATTAACACCTCAGATTCAAAGTCGTACGCAATAGTCCGCACATGACAACCGGATGACAAAAACTTTTGCTGCAGATGCAACTGCAGCTCCATATCCATGTCCATGGCCATGGCTTTTTTCCATCAGCAAATCTTGGGAACAGGATAGTCGCTTCTTCGTGCCCAGTGCCATAATTTGTGTGAAAACTTCTGCAGCAATTGAAAAGCGAAATGCTGGCCATCCAGTTTCTTGGCTTAAAAGAACTTTTGCATTATTTTCGTGCCTGGTCACTTGAAAGTTGCAGAAAATATGACAAGATAAAAAGCCAAAGAGTGCCAGCGGCAAGTGGGCGACGAGCAGCGATAGGGGGCGTGGCCCCGCCAACAACTGCCAAAGGTAATAATCAATGGGGCGGCCAAAGAAGCCAAAGAAGCCTTAATGACCTGCCCAACCTGCAGTTGAAGTTGGCTCAACGGCTCCTTTTTGTGACTGCCGCCGAGTGCAGCGCATGAATATGAAATATGAAATATCACGGCAAGACCTCCGAAAGTGCTGTCTTACAATACCCGAGCGCTATCTTTGCTGACACCTTTGCACAATTTATGCACAATTTTTTCACTACCAGCGAAGCGGCAGAAGCTGGCAAAAAATAAAAGTAAGTGCCGCAAAAACTTTTAAATGAGGCACATAATTCAAAAAGGCGAAGAAGAAATCTTGCCTTGCTTATCAGTCTGTTTCCCCGATTCCCCCGAAAACCCTGTTTCACTTTGTTACGGCGGAGATATTTTAAATTAATTAGCAAAACTTAAATATTTGCCGTAGTTCACAAGCGAACTTCGCATTGAACTTGTAAATATTCAATAGGCTCGCAGCCATAATGAATTCAAGGCAACTGAACTGAAGCCCCGCTGAAATGGCAAACATTTGCAGGGCGTACATAATTTTCCTGTTGGTTATGGCTTATTAATTGATAAGCAAATGCGCGTAATCACAATTGTGCCCCAGGCCAAACCAGTGTTTATATATTCAAAAGCCCAGGGTGCTAGCACTTTCCAAACTAATACACGTGTCCTAGCCATTCCAAAATTGCAAAGCATTTAAAGCGATTGATGTACTACAAGCTAACATCTTAATCTTGATCTGCTCTTCGGATTAGCACCTCCAAATTCAGGGTTCAGTGTCAATTCAGTCTAATAACTGCATATGTTCTCATTATCACACATCTCACTCGACTCTCGTGATTTGCTCGCTAATTTCAAGTTATTAAACAAATATTTTGTGTGTTTCGCTCGCGTGCCGACGAGAGCGTCGGGAACTCCTAGATATATGTTTTGTATTAGCATAAGATAAAAAATATATACGATAGAGGCTGTAGAGCTTTCCATAGACCGTTGTCATCTCAGTTCTCCGCTGCCATTGAACGCGATTAGTCGGCGCTGGGCATTAAATTGGTGCGGTTCGGTGATGAAACGGTTTCAATACAATTTCCGTTTCCATTGAATTGGAATATGTGAGATGCCAGTGTAAATTGCTAGTTTTATACGTGCTGTGGTTAACACAAACTAATTAATTTATAGGCCAACCAGGTAAGCCCCAACAAACTCAGGGAAAACCATAATTTTCCGACTCTCGTCATTGTTTTGATGCGGTTGAAACATTATTTCTATTAGCGCGCAGCGATTTAAATTATTTTAGCAAACACAAAACCGGCTGAAAATCGTTATTGTTCTAAAAAGTGTGTAAATTTAACATTATTCACTTAGCTACCGCGCTTGAATCGGAATTTTGTACTATTTTAAATGAAATTATAATGAAAATAATTTCGTTTTGATGTTGCAGGCAGCCAGCGGTACCTCGTTGTTTGTTTTTATTTTGATTGCCGGTATTTTCCATCGCTTATTTTCGTTATCTCTCTCATCAGTGCTTGTTTTCTCTGAATAAAATATATTTAAAAAATATATATAACTTTGCGGCTACTTGAGAAGTTTTTTAAGCTGAAGCTTAAAAAGGTATTGAGAATTTGTGGGTCTCTGAAAAATAATATTTTTACCTCTTTAAATTTATTTCCACGTTTAGTTTATTATAAAATGCTTGTTCGTTTTAGATCAGAGGTTCCTGGATATTCCTTATTTTTCTTTACATATTCAGGATCATATTAATAAAAAATAATTATTTTAACGCCTTTCTGAGAATTGTTACCTTCTGTGTAAACTGTTTTTAGGTAGGACAAGCCCTTAATTAAATAAATACCTGATGCTATTTGTGGCTGAAATAATTCGAACTTTATTAGCTACGATTTCGCATTCACCATATGTATTTGCGTTCCTTGCATTATGACATCCAATTAGCAATCAATTTAGGTGTGTGTCAAAGAGTCGCATGACGCGCTGAATCACAATCGACACGTGATCGATGGACCAATACGCAAATATAGAAATTGTCGCCCCAAACAACTGGAACTGGAATTCGCACCGGCGAGAATTGGCGCTAAATATTTGCGCACAATTAACACGTAGCCCGGCGGAACGGTGACAAATGACAAGCAGATTGTCTTCTAAAATCAAATACAAATACGAATTCGAATAAAAAGGGCAAGGAATCTGGAATTGAATCAAATCAAGTGCTGATTGCACTGCCCGTGTAAAGCACACATAGGCAGAGTCGGCTCTGCATAATAATTGTGAGAGGTAGATTGTAAATTCCTGTTATTAGAACGGCGCTTCATATGCAAATATCGCTAGTCTCGGGCTTCACTCTAATCAGCCAGGGTAGCGGCGTAAATTGCTCGGAATGGTTCGCAATCGCCCTCACACTCGCATTGGCATTCGGTGCGAACCGGCATTAAGTGCGCTAATTATAAATGGAAATATTTATGTATTTCCTAGCACCTAGCGTCTTTCTCGACCTGTGAAGTTGTCGCGGCAACAATGAAGCCAATTATGGAGGTGACTGTTAGCGACCGAGCACCTGTCGTCTGAGTTCGTTCACGGTCTCGTCCTCGTCCTCATCCTCATCCTTGTGAATTCGTCCTGGCCCAGGTGAAGACAGCTACAGCTTCCTGCCGGCAGCGGTGTCCTTGTCTCGACGTCATTCTCGCCCTCGTTGTGCCTGTGCCGCCACGGCGCAATCAACGGTTGTCAATCTTTGTTGCAATCTTCATTTCACCATCGCCTTGAGTGGCAGAGGCGGGGCGGGGACGGGAACGGGGGCTTGTGTGTCTGCTGCACTTTGCAATTTACACGATCCAACTGCTGTTGGGCTTTCGTTATGCATGAGCAGCAGGAATGAATGCCAAATGGGCTAAAAGCAGCTGCTTGGCGCTTATAAGCCAGTCGATGGTCCTGCTCCATTTGGTTATGCCTTTCAATGCACCGAAACAAATGGTTGAGTGGGATTCACAGACCCTATATTGAAAGAGAACATCAATAATAGAGCAAATATCAATGAGAAATTATCTTCAAATAGCTCGCAATTATGGTATTAAAAACTATGAAATTTTAAAGCTGTGTAAACGTATGCAACAAAATATTTTCAGTGGGATTTGTTTCAAAAGACTAAGTTACAATATTTAGTGCAAACTTTTGGACACTTTTTGAAATAATTTTAAAACAGTTGTGATTTTTCTGCTGTGATGTCAACTATAACCTACCAGAACTTCTTTATCCTTTGCAATTTTCCCAGTGAACCCGACGTTGACGCATCCATTAAGACATTTAAATCTGTTTGCCACTTACAGCTAAGCGCAGCAGACAGCAGCCAAATCAGTGCAGCAAAAAGAGGCCAGGTGACAACATGACACAAGGATCAAGCAACGGCATTGCAGCGCCGCAGGACTCCCAAGGCGACATCCTGCCCACCCGCCCGCTGCATACCAAATTAGACATACAGAAAATCCCAGAGGACGCGGCCGACGCCACACAAAACGCTGCAACAATAATTTTAACGCCGACATCATTAAATTTAACAAATACAACACAAAATGTTGCCGCCAACAATGCGGGCAACTCCGTCTCCGTCTCCGGTTATCCACCTCCAACTGCAACTCCGGGCGGAGTCCGTGGCGACGAGTACAAAGGGCCCAAATGGTAAGTGAAAAGCTCGTGTGGCCAGCACTCCGGCTGCGAAGTCGCGGTGCCGGGGCCATTGTGCGGATTTGTGCTTAACCCTTTGAATGCACTTCCGGCGGGACAACAGCGCCGCCATTCACACTTGCATTGCACGCGTTTTTCGCATATCCGTTTGGCTGCCTTTCGTTTTGTGTTTCGTATTTCGTATTTTGTGTTTCGTATTTTGTGCTTTATTATTTTTTTTTGTTGTGTATGGTACTTCTTTTGTGCGCCAACAATGACGTCGTGGAAGTTGCCGCTGCACTAGGCAACGGCGCGTGCTTCCGTTCGAGGTCCTGTTTCGGTCCTTTTCCCAGCCCCGGCACACTTATCTCATACCCAGATCCCCCGACGTCTAGTCTAGTCGCAGGCGAGCCCGATTTCATGTTCTCCTTTTGGCTGCGACACTTAGTTTAATAGCTGGCGAAATGCCTTGTTGGCTGCAGGCGTTTATTCTCCATGTTCACAACAATGTGGCGTATGAGTTACAGTGTTACGTATCCGACCAGTGGGTGTGTGCTGCCATTGTGGTGCTGGAGTTGGCTGGATCCCGGATCATGTCTCACTTTACTTGGACATCTTCAGCAGCAGGGCGAAGAAACTGTAGGCATTGTTGATTGTCTGCCAAAAGTTTAAAGGAGAAGTTAGTAGTCAGGAATAAATAATGTTTTTATATAAGAGTATCTCATATCCATAAAGTTTTTAAAGGAAAATATTTAAATTATGTGTATATAATGGCTCCTTTTAACTTAAATTCATAATTATTTAATTTTTTGCTAGAAATGAGAACACAAATCTCTCTCACTAATTTCACCTTTACGAAAATGGGCAGTCCTATTTCGAAGAAAACCCCAGCCCTAACTTTGACCGGACGTTTAAGGAACTCCATGTAGCAGTTGAGCAGCTTTCTGGTGCCCACGGAGTACTCCAGCCAATTGGTGCCAAAGACACTGTCGGTGAGGGCGTTGGCATGGAGGGTCAACTCGTTGCCGTAGTAGCAGGGCAGGAAGATCTGGAGGATCATGACGGCCACGAACTGCACGGTGGTCAGGAAGAGGCCAGGTCGCTGCTTGAAGCCCATGTGCACCAGTCGATAGGCGCTGAAGCAAATGATGAAGGCGCTGAAGACCACCTGGGACAGGACATAGGGCGAAACTAGCACCTCGCATTCCCTCGTCAACCTGCGCACTTTAGCGTGCAGCTGGAAAATGCGCCGCAACTCCGGCCTGGCCTTTTCTTCGGGAGCATTTTGCAGCGCCCTCAGTCGCATTCCGATCAGCCTGAAAAGCGAGGCGATCTGGAACATGAAGTAACAGCCCAGAGTGTCCAGCAGGATGTTGGATAGGCAGCACAGGGTCATGGCCAGCACGTTGTAGCCCCAGGCGTAGAAGTAGCGCTCCTTGGTGCGCCACTCAAAGGGCACGTAGTAGCCGAAGGGCAGCTCGTACTCCGCCTGGAAAAACACGCTGATGTATCCCATGGCGGCCACAGAAAGGCTGCCTCCGATGTACCAGTAGAAGACGCGCTTAAAGTCCCTTTGGTTTCGCTCCCAGAATTGTACCTCCTCGACATTTCGCAATTTATAGGCAGGGTCGTGCTGCATTTCGGTTATGAGGCTAGCAGCCTCATTGCGTCGGTACCAAATATTCAGCAGTTTGGTGACCAATGCCAGTTCAGTGATGGACATGTACAAGACCTGACCAGCCGCCTCGAAATCTGCAGAAGTTAAGGCCTCGTACCACATGAGAGCTATATAGGTGAAAGTCAGAGGAAGGTGCAGCACGAACGGATAGATGAGTTGTAGCCAGGCTAAGAGGCCATCTCCTTCTTCATTTTTCCACTTAAGAAGTCCCGTCCAGCGCTGGATCCCCAACAGAAATTGAATGGCACTCAATCGGTTCGTAGACTCCATTATCAGCAGTTTAGTTTTGGTTCACCTTATGATTAAACTCAAAGACTTTCCGGCTTTTATAACCAAAGTCTTTTGTAGGTCGAATTGAGGACATTTCTTCAATTAAGGGTAAACTAGGGTTGTATTATCAAAACTGTTCCCAGTGGAACTCCTATTTTACATCCAAGTTCATGTTTAGTTCATTTAAGTCCATAAGTTAATTTACATTTTTAGGCGATTATATTAAATGCTCAGGAACCGGTTCATTTAGTGAGCTCAGTTCTCAAGTTGCTCCATCCCTGATTTGCTTAGGTAATCAGCCAAAATATTTATACAATTAATAAGCAGGGCAATTACAATAATTAGCTGGATGGCAATAGGCTCCAGTTAATAGTTGACCGTCACTAAATGTGTAAGTCACGCAATGCAAAGATACTAGAGGATGTAGCTCAAATATAGTATTCATTCGTGTTTATAACGATTTAAAAATCAGTGCACCACCACCTCTGAAGCAGTAAGGAGTTTCGATTCCGAGACTCCCGATATGCTTAAGTTATGATGTTTTAAAAACTTCTTATTAGGTAAAATATAAAAGAGTTAATTTTAGAATAACCATTTAAGAATAAATGGCGTTTACAGATATGTTTTAAAGTACTAGCTTCAAGAGTGCATAACAAATTTTGACCAACAGTACTTTATTTAAAAATTTTTCGAATTCTAAGATTCACAGCTTAACTGTATTTCGTTCACTTATCACCAGGATTTATTTAGAAATCTGTACAAAATCTTTTCTTCGACATTAATATTTTTAATTATGATCAACAAAGTTTGAATTCATTTCAAAGCCTTTAAATTGAATAAAACAATACTTAGGCATGTAATTTATTTCCAATATTAATTTTATTAAAAGATATTTTAAAAAAACAACGTATGTTACTTCGATACATTCAGTAGAAGAGCAAAGAAACTGTAGGCATTGTTGATGGTCTGCGAAATAAGAGAAAACAGTTTAAGGATGGTCGAACACCGCCCACTGAAATGTATAGACCTTAACAAAAATGGGCAATCCAACGGCGAAGAAGTTCCCAGCTCGAATGGTCACGGGTCTTTTGAGGTGCTCCATGTAGGCGTTTAGGAACTTGCGAATCGGTGGCCCGCATTGCAGCCAATTGGTGTGATACACCTCGTTGGTCAGTTGGTTGGCATGGACGGTTATCTCATTGCCATAGTAACACGGCAGGAAGATCTGCAGGATCATCACGCTCACGAACTGCAGCATGGCTATGAACTGACCGGGATTATCGCGGATTCCCACGTGCTGCAAGCGGTATCCACTAAAGCAGATGATTAGCGCACTCAGAATGATTTGGGATAGGATGTAGGGTGAAACAATTTTCTGGCAGGTGAGGGTTAATCTGTAAAACCTTGTGATGTTAGCACAGAAAGAGGAAAACAGCTACACAATTTAAAAGACCTTCGCACACTCTGATGCAAAATAAAGATGCCACGCAACTCCTGGCCAAAATACAAGTCATCCCCTATGTTCTTCAGAGCCCTCAATCGCAGGCCCAGCAGGCGGTATAAGAGCGAGATGTGGAACAGGAAGTAGCAGCCCAGGGTGTCCAGAGTTATGTTCGAGATGCAGGTCAGCGTCATGCCCGCCATGTCGTAGCCATAGGCAAACCAGTATCTTCCCTCATTTCGCCAATCGAATGGCACGTAGTAGGCGAAGGGCAGTTCGTAGTCCTCCAGGAAGAGCACTCCTGTGCAGCCACTGTACACCACGCCCAAGCTAATCAGGATGTAGATGTAGAAGAACCACTTGAAGAACCGCTGCTCGCGCCGCCAGAAATTCACTTCCTCTTGGCTGCGAAACTGGTAGTCCGGGGAGTGCTGCAGCTCGTGCATCAGCCGCCAGGCCTCACTGCGATGGTGCCAGATGCTCAGGATCTTTATGACCAAGGCCATTTCCGTGATGGACATGTAGAGCACTTGGCCAGCCTGCTCCAGGTTGCTCGAGATGAAGGCCTCCAGCCACATGAGTCCGATGAAGGTGAAGGTTATGGGCAGGTGCAGCAGGAAGCGGTAGTTGCGCTTCACGAAACCGGACAAGGTCCACTCCTCTCCAGCTCTCAGGGACCAGGGCCAGAGGCCACATAGCTGCATGACCCGGAGAATCAGGCGCATGGACTCAATCCGATCCTTGTGGCTGTCCATTGGTCTTGGTTCTGGTTTTATTTTCCTAAGAGCTGGCTGCTTTTATAGCTCTAAGTGGGCACGGTTATTAGCAGCAATTACGTGTACATAATTTAGGGAGAGACACACGAAACTACTTATGAAAAAAGGGAACTCCTGTTAGTTTAACTCCTTTTCTTGGACTCCTTGCAGGTGGCTTCACTTTCGGTCGCATTGGGTGAACATTTCGGAGCAAGTGGCCCTGCTGGCCATTTTCCTGGGCCTGTGGGCCATGGCCTGGGTTCTGCTGCCGGAATACTCACAGCCACAGACCGTCATCATGCGCATTGCATTCCTGTTCGTTGGCGCCCAGATCTTCGGCATCCTGGTGACCTTTGTGCATCTGCCCGATATGCTGGGCATGCTCTTCTTCGGCGTGCTCTATGCCAACCTGGGACTGGCCAACTTTGAGGGGTATCAGAAGTTCGAGCTGTTTTTGAGGTGAGTATTTGGATGGCGTTCGTTCGAGAAACATTTAATTTGGCTTGCACTCTTCATAGGGAAATGGCCCTGATCAACATCATGCTGCTGGCTGGCCTGGGCCTGGACGGAGATGCCTTCAAGCGGCTATGGTTCATGATACTGCGGCTCACCCTGCTGCCCACAATTGTCGAGGTGGCGGCCATCGCCGGACTGGCCTACCTCACCCTCTCGATGCCATGGCTGTGGGGCATCGCCCTGGGGTGAGTGGTTCAATGGATTACTTGGGCTATCGAGGGGGCTATTGAATGTGCTGTTTGAATGTTGCAGCCTGGTCATCACCGCCGTCTCCCCGAATGTGGTCGTCACCGTGATGCTGAAGCTGAAGGAGGATCGCCTCGGCCTGAACAGCGGCATCCACACACTCATCTACGCCATGACCACATGCAACGATGTGGTGGCCATCTTCATGTTTGGCGTGATAATCAGCGTAATATTCTCAACGAGTGCGTGCCACCCGTTGTGCCCGGGAATCAGAGTCAAATAAACCCCTCCTAAACTCCCCCTTTCTCTCACTTGCAGCCTCGCTCACCCAGCAAGTGCTGCAGGGTCCCATTGGCATCGGGATTGGACTCGTTTTCGGCTATCTCTACGGCTCAATGCTCCAGTACTTGCCGTCCCGCAACGCGGTAAGCTGGCAGACAAAGGCGTCCTGCTCGTCCTTTTCGTCTTTCTCGTCCTTCTCGTCCTGCTGCTGCTCGTCCTCGAGCGGGCTGCACTTAAAATGCACATTCAGTGAACACTTAGACACTCAATCAGCGCATTTAATGATGCAAAACGCGCGACAGTCTCTAGAGGGAGGCGTAGGGGGGCGGGGCAGGAGGACGCAGTGCCATATGTACGTGCGGCTACAGAAGACTGCACTGAGAAAAATAGGTTTCAATATAGGTCCTGAAATACGTTATGAAATACGTTATGAATTAGGTTCTAAATCAGGTTATAAATTGTTTCTGAAATATTTCGACACATTTCTTTTAAATGGCATTTCAAAGAGTTAAGTTTTAAACAATGTTTAATAATTTAGTATTTATATATTAAATATTTTCAGTAAACAGAACGTTCTCTTCTCTATATTATCTTGTATTATAACTTATGAACAAACAAAATATATATCAGAAAACTGTCTTTAGAGTTAAAACCTAAGCTAGTTAGCATTTTCAAAACCATATAAAATATTTATGTTAATTTAAAGGCAGACTTAAACTCTCCCATAGCCATAAATACAGAAAGAAATCGTGAGATGAAGATTGTTAAGGGATTTTAAAGCATTGAATACCTTGATCTCGAGGACCATTTTCCTGACTAAGACTTTAGTTTTTCGCACAGTGTCAGCTTCCGCTGAGCGGTTGCTTGTGCGGGTGCTCTTTGCATAAAAAGACACTTACATGCATAGCGGCAACGGCAACGGCAGCGACAACGAAAACGACAACGGCGGAGCTGGCGACATTTGCGACGACAGTTACTGCCAGCATCTATGTGAAGTTATGCCGGGGACATCGAGGCAGCCGCAGCCAGAGCCACAAAACTCATTGCCGCAACTTACACCGCTAATGGCGCGCATAATCAAACGCCATGGGTGGTGCGCTGAATGCGCTTTAGCCACCAAGCCACCCAAGCCACCCATCCCCCCAAACACACACACACATACACACACAAACACTCCTGTGGAGTTCTCATAACTTTTGTTTTCTGCAAGTCGCGCTCGCCTTTGCCATCGTCAAGTGGCATCCGCATCCACGCAGGGCTGCAGTTTGTACAAAAATTTCACGCTGAGCGCCGTTGAAGTTGCATCCTTGCATATTTTACACACCCACCGACCAACCCCCCGTCACACCACACCATACCACACCACACATATACACTGTCATCGCCCGAAGGGGAAAAAGTAGGGGCTGTCATCAGGCCTCGGTTTTGGTTCTAGCATCTTTTGGCATGTCATTGCTACCGTCTTGATTTTATTATTATTACGCAGTCCCTGGTAATTTTCCATCCGACGTCACCTTTCTGCCACTTATTTTTCTCGTGCCTGTTGTCAGTATTTTTCCATAAGATATTCGCCTGAAAGTTTTTAATTCAACGAGGTGGCGGCAAACTAATTTAAAAAACTGAATGTCTCACTGTAAGGGAAAACTCCAGTTTTTCCTATTTATAATAAAGAAAAGTAAGCTAACGAAGTGCTATCGAAGGGAGTTTAAAGTTAAGTAAAAATAACTTGACAAAGGGTAGCATGGAAATTGAATTGCAGCAATTTGCGAAGCATGAAAGGTTAGTCAGAAAATTGCCGGTAAAATTAAAAGATCCCAATCCGTCTCAACACCAGCCAGGAAAACTGACAAGTTGACAGTGCAGATATTGAAAAAAATATCCAAAAATTCCCGGCTGAGAAAACATTGTGTCAGGCGAGTTTTATCAGATCTAAATCGTTGTAAAAGTCATTTTAGTACACTTTTTGAGGTTGGAAAAAAAAAGTTCAATATGCAAGCAAAAACAAGGGGAGAGGACAAGTCAGTTTTTCCTGGGCAGCTGCACACGTTGCGTATACGCAACCTGACCGCACACAGAGCACAAACAATGCACAGGTGGACAGCGGGTAAAAAAACAGTTTCCATCAGAGCTTTGTAAAGTGATTTCGCCCCTTTCCCCCATTTCAACCATTTCCCTCATCCATCCAGACTAACTCACCTGTTTTGCCATTCACTCTACTCATATCTGTCCTTTCGCCATCCATTGCAGACGTACGCAAATGGACTCCGTTTCGTCCTGACCGTCTTGGGCGGCACCATCGCCGTGATGGGCAGCCGCGTCATCGGTTATACTTCAGCCGGCGCCCTGGGTTGTGTAACGACCGCCTTTATTGCGAGGATTGGCTGGCGGCGGGAGGAGGCCATGCTGACGGCCCAGCAGCTGCAGGCCCAGCAAATTGTGAGTATTCTGCACTGAACAAAAATATTTTACGTATTTTTTTTTTGTAAATTTAAGTTGATTTTATAACTATTTTATATGAAAGGTGAAACTCAAATTAAAGATGTAGCCATTTAGTTACGAGTTCTGTTTATCTTACCCTTATAATATAATATTTTTAGTTTTGAGGATACCAAACTAATAATTTTATTTGTCAATGTAACGTATAAATACCGAATATATCAATAAAAATATTTAATATTTTTGGGCATCGCTACTGAAATGTGAAAACTTTCTAAGTTATTAGTTTGGTATGAGTATTATTTGGAATATATATAATAAAATATTTGTGCATATTTGTAGTACTGTAAAGTTTAATTTACATATAGAACAAATCTCTTCCATCATTTCTTTCTGTGCTTAGAATCTGAACGGGTAAATTCAGTCGTTTGGTTCTCTGAGCTCGAGACTTTGGCTTTGCCTCCAGCTCGGGATTTCTGAGTGCTTTCGGGGTATTGGGCTCGGACGGACTTTTTTCAGTTTTGTTTGGTTTTGGGTCAAGAAAAATGTTTTTTGGCAATAGTGCCATTTTTTATGCCTGCTCCGCTGCAGCTGTAAAAAGCGGCTGTATGTGCGGGATTTTTGCTAGGTAATTTGTGACATCACGTCCTTGTCCCATGTCAGAGTTGACTGCCGGTGCTCGATTTGTTTCGAGCAAGTGTGTGTGTTTTTTTTTTTTTTGCCAGACTCTTCCCATTTACCTTTGCCTTAAACTTTTAGCCCAGATGCTGCCGTGGCAGCGCACTTGAGTTGCAAGGCAACGCTCCGTAAGCCGATTGGCCTGCCTCCGTGGCTGATTTAAACGGGTGAAATAATGAACAGGCTCCCTGGAATTGAACGCTTGGCCCCGATCTAATAACAACCCATTGATTTCCATTGCAGGCGAGTGTGCCCAAGCGTCTGGACCTCATGTGGAAGTTCCTCAAGCCCGTCTCGTTTGCGCTCATTGGCAAGGAAATTAATTTCAACGTGCTGCAGGGCCATGTAATCGGTTATGGCGCTTTGCTGGTGCTCGTCGGAAGTTTGGTAATTAAAATGGTCGCCGGAGGTGTGGCCGGTGTTGCAACAAATGCCCCACGCCCCGCGCCCCACGCCCCCCGCCCCGGCCACTTATTTAATTTCTTTCGGTTTTCGTCCAGTTTGTGCGGGGAATTCGCTGACCGGCGAACAGCTCCCCACGGTTTTGGGTTGGGCAAAAACCCGAAAACCGTGACCATGGGTGGGTTGGGGTGTGCCGACCGAAATGAAAATGTTCCGGTACGGCAATGCAAATGTTACCTGCACATACGGCACAGAAAACCGAGGGAAAGAAAAAAATCAGCAGCCAACAACCAACAGCCAGCAACCAGCAACCAGCTGGAGATGACCACCACTTTCTTGTTCTTGTTTTCAGTTTCGCCTGGCTTTTGCATATTTATCCACATATGGCGGAAATCTGTCGAGAAAGGAACGTGCCTACATTACAATTTCCGGTTTTCCCAAAGCAACTGTCCAAGTAAGTTTCCCGTTCCGCGTGTCATGTTGCTGCGGTTCCCCATTGCCAACCCTTTCTCCATTTTCCATTTCCCGTTGCCCATTTCCCCATTTCCCAGCCGTTGTCTCCTGGCCTGGTGGCGCTTTTTATTTCACTGCCGGCAATTTCACTCGCTTGCCACGAGCAGACTGTCCGTCGTCCTGTTCGTCCTGGCCTGGTGTTTTCCCCATGCTTAAGTTATACACGTATTTGCAGGTCATGTTCTCTTGGCCAGAGTCATCGCAGGTCCTGCTCCTGCGGCTGCAGTTGGCATGCCAGCCTTTTGTTTGCAGTTTAACCGCAAGCGGACATTTTGTTTATGTCGCCTGTGTGAGCGAGCGTGTGCGTCCTGTGGCTTCCACAAATTTAAATGTTCCGCTGGTTTACTTACTTACTTCCCTAGAAAAGAGAAGAATTGTGGTCATATGTGTATGTGTGTGTTCCTGTCTAGCTTTTCCCTAATATGCGGTGCATATTTCACTGTCCACCTTTCCCGTACTGATTTAATTAAAATTTGCTCAGCAAACTGCATTTAATCCTGGCTCCGCTGCATATCACTCATACGCAGCGGTGGCCGCTGCTTAATTTGAGTCCTCTAACCCAGTGCTCTTTTTGCTCCATTCTCCTTTAGGCCGCCCTGGGACCAGTGGCTTTGGATCTGGCACGTGCTGCCAGCGTGGCCAGTGCAGAGCAGCTGGCTCTGGCCAGCAATGTGCTCATCATCTCGGTGCTGGCCATTATTTTCACCGCCCCACTGGGTGCCATCCTCATGCTGCGACTGGCGCCATATTGGCTCAAACGGGGCGATGCAGTGGAGGCGGTGGACTCCCCGACCACGCCCACAGTGCCAAATCCGCTAAACGCCAATGCCTTCAAGAGGGCTTAGCATAAGGATGACCCTCGCATCCGGAGTCGAAAGTTTTAATCCAAGCCGCACTTACCTAGCCAACGCAGCTGTACTTATACTTACGTGTACTAAGAGGCATTCGGCCATACGCAGTTCAAATAAAAGTAAATGCGAAAAGTTGCAAAGGTTGCTTTTTCAATTCATTTTCAATCCAAGGGTCTCTTTTTATGGGACTAATTTTCCAGTTATTTGCTTACTTGTCCAGCCGGGTCCCTAAAATTCGGCGAATTAACAAAGTTTGCACTTAATCCGACAGGACTAACGCCCCAAATGGGCAACTTGGCCAACTGGGATTTTATTGTTTTTTTTCCCCCTCTCGGTGAATAAAAAGCTTTTCGGCACCTAATTATGACTGGATCTGTGTTAATCCCGGACTCGAGCCTTTGCTAATTGATTTTATAATTAATTTTGAGGGATTTAAGCGCTGCGCCGTGTCAATCTGGCACGAGTTTTTGTGTCATGTCCAATCAATCCGTATTAATGATTGACAATTGAACAAGCTGTTATTGCGAATAAAGGCCGTTCAAAGGCCTTTCGTTCTCCACTCGTTGGAGTTGGTCAAGTAAATAAATGAACCCAAAATGATTTTGTTATGTTCAAAGAACAGTTGTCCTCCTATTGCCATTCTCCCCCCGACGAATTTTCACGCCCGATGCTCTTGTGGCAGAATCATTTTGCTCCGAGCTGAATAAAAAGCTAGAGCCATGGCAAAAACACAAAATAATGGCAACGGGCGAAGAATGTCATTTAATTGAAAAGTGATTGTGAGACCAACCAGCATCGAGGCGGTACGAGGCCACCCGTCGCCATGCGATGCAGAATTTGCAATGCAAACGGCTTAGAATGAACTTGATGTTCTGGCCGCCTTTGATGCTTTTGGTTTTTGTTCCTGCTGTGGTCGCATGACGACCAATGGTACCGGGAAAAAGGAGGACATTTTTCCCAAATTGGTTTCGAAACACTCAAAAAACTATCAAGCTCTAGCTTTCCTATGTTTTCTATTAACTTTTATTATATATCCAAAAGGAAACCGTTAAAATAGCAGATAAACTGCTATGAACTTTTATAAATTTGTAATATTTTAGAAACCAATCGAAATTAGAATTTTCTCTCACTATCATTGAAGTTATTAAGCAGAAGAAGGTCTCTGAAGTATATGCCATACTGCATTCAATACGCTTGTTTTTCGCGCAGTGTAATAGCTGAGCTCCAGCTGTGACCCGGTTGAGTGAATGCTGAAAGGAATGAAATTAAAAGACGGCAAAAACGGGGCAAGCGATAGAACTTATCATTTTTATTATCCTACAGCTGCGCATATTTATAACTCGATGTCCCCGTCTCTTTCGCATTCGCATTTGCTATGCCACTCCCCATCCTTTGTCCCCATCTCCCCATCTCTTTCCCACCGGCATCATTGGTGGCCTTTGTGTGGCTTGAAAAAGAGTTGAGAATTGAAGGTAAATTAGTGTTATTAAAATGGCTGCACAAAAATAATTGCGCAACTAAATGAAATTTTTAATGAAAATTCTTTGGTTTCCCCTTGGTACCTGTGCTTTTACACTTTTCCGCTGCGATTGCCATTGCTCCTGCCCTCTGTTATTATTTGCTTTGTTTCCGCAGTTGATGTTCGTGCAATTAGCATAATGAAAGCATCTGCAGGTCAGGATATTTACGCAAGCAGGTAAGAAAAAGCAAAATCATGAGAGCATTGGATGAAGACTGCCCGGCTAAGGGATATAATGAAGTGCGTAAAAGCCGGTAGTTTCAGATTGCAGTACCGCAATTACGCCACAATTGAGTTATGTTCGCATCGCATCAATTATGCTGCCACCGGCATAATCCTTCAAAACTCATTGCTCTTATCGCGGCCATTGAAATGCCACCGGCCATAGATCAATCTTATCAGCGCAGTTAAAGCATTTTCCTGCGCCAAATAAATTTCAGCAGTTTATTATTCTAATTCGCATGCCGAATTCCGGCAGAAAAAGAACGCCAGGCACGTCACCACCTTGCGCGACCAGCCAAGCCACCCATCGGGCCACCCACCCAGTCACCGAGTCACCCACTGCGAATTCCACCCAATATAATGCTCCCCAAACCACCTACAAAGACTTCCATGCGATACGGTGAAAAAGGAGTTGTGCGAGTGCCAAACGAAGTCAAATCAAAAAGTTCACAAAAATGCCAGACCAACAGAAATTAAGTTATAAAATTTTAAGGACTATGCGCAGTTTAATTTCCAAATGCCATGCCACCACCCACCGCCCACCGTCCAACTTTCGAAGACACACACACACACAGGTGGGCGGGGCAAAAGCTCGGGGCAGGAGCGTATTGTGGTTTTTGTTATGCGCCGATTACCATAAAAACAAGCCAAAGAAAGTTGCGTCCTCCTGCCAGTCCGCCTGCCAGTGGTCGGAAACGGAAATCAAGAAAACAAAAAGAATGAGCCCAAATGAAGTCAAACCTGGCGCCCGCTCCTTCAGTTAATAAAGTTAGTTGCGTTTGCCGCGACGGCGAAAGTTTTGAGTTATAAGCGCGCAAATTATGGCTAACAACAAAGCAGCAAAAAAGCAGCCGCAATGCCGAACAAAGGAAAACAATTAACATGACGAAGACACATAAAATTTCCACTTCCCTCCAGACCTCGAAGCACTATAGTTGGGTGCGTCGAATTAGCAGTTGTATTTGCTGGCTCGAAATGTGCGTCAATCACGTGATGGAACTCGGGCCCAAACCCTTGGAAAATCCCCTTCCCCACTCCGAATGTCGACTCTTGTCTGCTTCTGGTTGTTGTTTGCTTAATTTTAATACCATGTACTTTTTATCGCTCGGCATTCCCCGAGCAAGTTGCTGGCTGAATGAAGCCATTTGTTAGCTGTATCTGTGGCTTAGCTTTTTGGGAAATTTCCACCCCCCTTCGAGCACCCATTCCTTGGCTATCAATGCCAACTCAAAGTTTGGGGGCCACAGGTCACAGCACATCACAGCTATTTTCGTGCAAATGGCATATTTTTTATGGCTTGTCGCTGGATTCCGGTTCCTCGTGTTGTAATTAGACAAAATTGTTGACTGCCACGACTCCGCCCAGTGCCCCGCCCACTCGAAGGTAGCCCCAATCGCGACTGTTCGCTCAGTCCTGAATTCCGGCACTCATGTCTACAGCTCGAACCGCTGTTTTCCTGCCGCTGGAGGTGTGTTTGACACTTGGCGTGTCGAGACAGCAAAATATTGTTCCCGACCATTCACTGGGGACTGCACTGTAAAACATTGTTTTAGGCATAGACCACTATATGCTAAATATAAATTAGCTTAGACAAATACTTTTTTATTACCAAACGAATCCTGTTTACCATTTACTTTTTATTCCATAATATCTAAAAATGTTTGGTTGCCACACAGTTCTTCCCAAAAATTCTGTTTCTGATTTCCCGCCCAACAAAAATCTGTATTTTGACCAACACAATGCGAGTGATGACAAAATGTGGAATGTAGACGTCATACCTCGTGAAATTCGTTATAAAATATTTTCAATCGACTGGCATTAATTAAAAAGTTTTATTTTTAACCAATTTTTGCCAAAATGTATAGGAAATGTACGACTTGCTCAAAGAAAATATTTTTTTTAAAAGGTTGAGGTATTAAAAGTTTGGAACAAAATGATTTGCTTTGAACAGCAAATCAATGCCCCAAAAATTGACTTTCATTGTTTTTATTTTCAAAAAACAAATTGCGAATTGTGAAATTTGTAAAGCAAGCACAAACTCTGTTTATTAAAAAAAAACAATGGGATTTCACAGACATCAAGTTCAACTAGGCGATAACGAAATCATCACAAATCGACTGCCAGATTAGAGGTGTTTTTCACTAAACACGTATCAAAATGTTCACTGTTTTCGAACACGGGGATGATCCTTGGGCAACAGTAGTTCATTTGGGTTTTATTGTGGTTGCTCAGAGTATGCATGTGTTTAAAGAAGAATTCCACACCTATAGTTATGCAGCAAGTGCGTGTTAAGAGGAGCGACGAACTACCAGATTTCGCGGCAGCGACCGCGATGGTCGGGCAGATATCCCGGCTGGCAGGGGAAGTCGATCATGGCCACCTCCATGATCTTGGTCTCGCCGGCGGGCTGTCCGGCGACTGGGGGCACCTTGGAGGCCTCGTAGGCGGCCAGCACCTGCTGCTCGTCCAGCTCGACGCACTGGTTGGGCTTGCCCAGGGTCTTCTGGTCGTTGGGGCAGTCCACTCGCTTCAGGCAGTACTTCAAACAGGGCCGCGGAGTGGGCACCTGGGTGAGCTTCTTCTTGCAGGTGAAGTGCGCCGCGCAGCCCGCCTCAATGACGGGCACATTGTTGTTGATGAAGAAGGGGCGACGGGGCTCCTCTGTCGTCGTTGTTGTGGAAGTGGAGGTGGACTCCCGGTTGAAGATCCTGCCCAGCAATCCGCCCTGCGTGATGGTGACCAGCAGAACTGCCAGAAAGGCCACCAGAAGCTGCTTCATTGCCGACTTGTTTGCACTGCGACTGTCGTTTGACTACAAAGCGTTGCCAGTTTTCAAGAGCGGCAATCTACGCCGCTCGATAACCTCTGACCCCAGAACCGCGGCAGGGAGATAACCAGTCGACCCGCATCCAAACACAACGCACACTTACACACACTTACACGCACACATACACACATTTGTGTGCGCCTATAATTCCAGTCAGTTTTTCTTTCATTTTTGGTTGACTTTAAATTGGTTTATCGCAAAATTGAATTGCATTTGAGGTAAGCGGTGGGCTGGGCATACGCACATTTTGGCAAATTTGACACGGGAATTGAATTATCTGCATTCTGTGAACCGCAAAATTGTATAAATAAATATTAGTCAATTGGGTATTTCGTACATGCGAACGCATAATTTTGAGCTGGCATGGCTAAGCCGTGGGCGAACCAAACTGCCAGTTTAATATCATAGAAATAAGCCAGGGCAGGAAACGCGCTCGAAAATCGACACTAATGTTCAATGATTATGTCGATGAGTGGCTGATTTGTAAATAACGCTTTAAGTGGTTATAATTGATAAGAAATTTTTATAAGAGAGTCGCTCCTATTTTGTTGCATTCATTTCAGATTAAACATAGTCAACACTAGAAGTCATGAAGAATAAAAGTTTTCGTGATTAGTAATTTTTAGTTTTAAGATGATTATCAAACATTTGTGTTATTGTTAATGCTCATGTTTTTCTATATTTATTGTTGACATTGTTATTTAAGCTATTTTTAATCAATATTCTGATAATTAAGTTGAAATCAAAATTAATTTAATAAGCTAAGTAACTGAAATGAATATTTAAGCTGCAATCAATTGACATGGGTTTAAGAATGCAAAGAAAATACATCAAAAGCTGCCCTTTGGCAAGTCAAACAATGGTTTAAAATGGGTTCAATTGAGTTATATTGGTTGTTGAACAGGGTATTGTCTTAGATCCATCGATTCTTCTAGGTTAATAGGTATCATCGGAATGCGGCCACATTATGGAGAACAAAGCACATGCAAGCCCTTCAATGGGTCGTCAACAAAAGCCGACAGAGCTCCATTCAGCTTAAGCGTAATGAAGCAGTTGCAGCCCATTGCCGATGTGGGAGGCACTCCTTTGCAATCCAGGAGATGCTTGCAAACTATTTGAATAATTGATATTAATCGCTGCCGAGAGCTGTCAAAATTAATTTGTGATGTGTTTCCAAAGCCAGATTATTGATGATGATTATGTCCGGGGCCTGACGAAGACATCGCCTAATGGAAGTGGTCGGTCTGACAACTGAGCGCTGAGTAGTTGCTGCTAGTTCTGGCCGATTGTCATTCCCCAGAGGCATTAATTACACTTCGACTCGAGAAATTGAATCGTCTTGCAGAGGGCAAACTTCGAGCGGCCATTGTCTGGATGGGAAATCGCTTAATATGTATTAACATTTATTGCCGGGCAAACTTTTGGAGCGAGAGGGAAAAAGAAAAAGAAATTCTAAGACAACAGCAGGCCGGAAATTGCCAAACACTGATACTTCCGCCGGAAATAGGTTCGATTCTGGTTGTTCACGCTGCTGGAGGTGGCTGCTGCCTGCCTCGAAGTAAATTGAGTTAATGTCGGTGGCGCTCTATCAGTCGACCTAATATGAAGGACAACGCCTGTTTGGCGCCTCGCTCGCTCTCACTCACTCACTATCAATGGAAACACATTTCACATTTGTCGTAAAGGCGACTTAATTGCCGCCCACTCCCCAGTTCACAGGACTTTGCACAATAAACAGATCATAATCTGGCTGAAACTATCAATTTCAAGCCAAACAGAACGAAATATCTCAATCTGAAGCTCTGGAGCTTCGAAAAAGAGAAAAGCGGCAAAAAACAAATGAAAATGCTTTACAACATAAAAACAAACTGCAGAACGGGACGGAATCGAGATGGCCGGGCGACAGCAACGATGTGTTAACACTTAGGAGGACGAACGAGCAGTGGCCGGGTGACAATGGAGCCAGCCGAAATCCTTCGATAGGTTCAGCAGCGACTGGAGGAGCAGGTCCTGGAGGACGACTGCGACGACTGTGCGTCCTCATAGATTTACGCACACTTAAGCAGCGTTTACTCAGTCCTCCAACTTCAAATAGTCGTATAAATTGTTCGGCAGGCGTTACTGTAGCCCGGGCTTTTTGTTTCTGTTCCTCTTTGTCTTTGGCTTTCGGTTGAACTGTTGTCCGGACGGAGTTTCAGCAGGGAAGGAGGTGAGGGAGGGGGATGTGGAGGGGCACTTCCGGGGCGTGAATGAAGTGCCATGTTCTCACGCTCACGCATTTGCCAAGTGCCTGCCGGCCCACATGTCGTATGAGTTTTATGTCCCTCTGTTTATATGACTGTCTCTGTGCGCTCAATCGTTTCTGAGACACATTTATTTGCTCTGGTGCTGCTGCTTTTCTGCTTGTGCTGCTTTGGCTCCTTCTTTTGTTAGTTTAACAAATAAAATTAGTGCTATAAACATTCGTTTGCCAATGCCTCACTACGTGGCATCATAGCAAGAGCCAAAAAAGGGAACCAAATTAAAGCTGCCCTTAAAAAAAACATGTTAAAAACAAAATAATCTTGTGAGCAGGATTGCTTTACCTTTAATGACTTCAAGCCCCCTTCTCAGCACGCTACTGGTAACATCTATATATTTGTTTACACAATCGCAACTCTTTGCCACTTCATAAGTTTTTTCTGTTTCAGTGCCACCCACTTCCTTGGGGATTTATTGCCACAGCGAATCTGCTGGTATCGCCAGGGATCAGAGGAGCACCAATGAAAAACAGAAGGAAAGCCAGACAAGGACCGATCATGTATCCCATTTCCGGGTGATGACTCGGAGGTTTGTTTTAGCTGCGAGATTCCCCTGTGCTGAAAGAAATATATATTAAATGTATTACGAATCTGCGGCAACAAATGCATTTTGCGCACAAATAGCCGGCGGATGGCATAAAACATAGCAAAAGAAGCTCTGGGTAAACAATCTGATACACAAATAAAACATTGGCGGAAGCAAATTGGAAAATTTATATAAATGGACAAGCCCTGCCACATAAATCGATCTTAACATTTACCATCTAAGCAAAAACCTGAACCCATTTTAAAAGACTTGATAAACAATATGAATTTGACAATACAAATTTCAAGACTGATCAAAATAAGAAAAAAATAAAAAATATTATTTACCTCAAAATTAAGTTTAAAACTTTTAGTTCAGTTTTCGACAGTGTTCAAGAAAATGTGTAATAATTTGTAATAAAACCTTGGCTAGCAGTATATCCTAATTAACATATATTCCCTTTCGAGACTCGGCACTTTCTCGTTAAGATGACTTTTAGTAGGCCTCTTTCTATTTTCACTCTTCGTGGAAGAGAAGAACACTTGTCTTTGGACCTATTTAGGTAGGCATATAATGGGACATTATTGGGGTGCTACTGGTTTTCGGCCAAAAGGCTACAAGTTTTGTTGTCAAACCCCATGTAGCCATTGAAATGGACAACTTTCATGCAGCCATATTTATGATAGGGTCGGCCATCGAATATATAATTTCAATTTTAGCCACGCAGGCACTGGGCAGTCAGGCACATGATTATAATTCGCTGTCGGACAGCCACTAAATTTCAGAATTCTCGCTTAGCAAACACAGAAACAAATTGCTGCGAATAAATTTTATTATTATCGCAATTGAATTAAATTTGCGATAAACGTAGAAATAATTCGTATGTTGCACACGACCGCAGGAGCGGTGGCGAATCGATTCGGATTTGTATGGCCGGCCCAGTTGGCTCTCGAAATCTCTGCCAGTAGGTCGTCCTCCTGGCCAGGAGGAGGAAACTCGGAGCGGGATCCGTAGCATGTTCCTGTGTGTTGTAATCCCTGCCAAAGCGATTACAGTTTTTGTTTGAATTTTGAATGGGCACACGGGAGTGGGCAGTATTTACATTGATGCACTTTAGCCGCATTTTAATTGGATGCTAACTGCGCCCCTGCCCACATTTAGCCGATTAGCGCTCAATGAAGTCTGCAGTTACTCTATTTCCAATTCGAATGCAAATGCTTCTGGTCAGCGGCAGGAGCGCGATAACAATGGTTTAGGTTTATGCCCGCTTATTTCGCTACCATGCGGTAAATGGCAAATGGTGAATGGTAATGGGCGCACTTTCGCCGTGCCAGAATGGCCGTGAACCGGCAGCCGATTGTTATTTATTTCAGTTTTTGCCACGCTCCATAATTTGTCACTGCAGGCGAGCCATAAAATCCGTTATAGATAGTATATACGTATAGGGCATAGAGCTAACAAATTGGTGTGTTTTATGGACTTGTCACAGCCAACAACTCGACCGGGTTGGCTTAAAAGCTAATTACGTTTTATTTGTGCAAATATTAGAGGCCCTATCATTAGCATGTTACACCTCCCTCTCCCCTCCCCACTTTCACATTTCTACTTTATGCTTTCTCCGCTCTTCAATTGGCTTCACACTTGCCCGCATTCATGTAAAAATCGAGCTTCCATTCAGGACTCAGCCTCACTTGAGTTCAATTAAAACCGCACTTGTAGTTGTTGTTTGCATAACAAACACACTCAGAGCTCTCGACACACTCTCGGCCAACTGGTCAAGCAACCGCACTGCTCGGCCACGCCCCCACTCCCTCGTCGACCATGCCCATCTGCCGCCCATAATGCAAAACGAACTCAGTCAAAGGCTCGACGCAGTCATTGTTGGCCATTGTTTAACAATTAACCGCAAATTGAATGCAATTAAATAAATAACGGTGTTGAACCTTTGTGCAAACGATGTAGGCACGTGTACGCGTCGCCGAAGTCGCTCCTCCAGCCCTTATCCCTCCGCATATATACATATATACACATATATTTATATGGTATACCCAGTTTATTGCACAGTGTATCCCTCTGTGTATATGTGTGTGCTTCACTGCCAGGTCAACGGTGAGCGTAATGCAAACACACACACACATACACACCAACAAACCAACACACTCAACCTTCTGTGGCCTGCGTATGTGCGTTGTACAAATGAAATGAAATATTACGTATACGTCACGTCGGTCCATTGGCCAGGAAACAAACACACTCGCAGAATGGCCATTGGCCAGCTGAAGTTGCCTGCTGGGCCGTATTGCAGCATATTTGCCAAAGTTATTGTTGTACTCGATCCGCAGAGCAATCGGCCAGCGCCTCCACCTATTTTCTTTCAGGGGATTACGTACGCGATTTTACTGACGCTACCGCTTGCACTTTCTGTAGGGTAATTTCGTATAACTAGTATTAAATATCACAAGGTAGTTTTGATTATTTGGTTTTGATTATTTACGAATTTCTTTTTTTAATACTTTTATGATTTTCACTGGATGAAACTCTAACTTGTCAGGTTACAAAAAGCTTATTAAAAACAAGCATGATCATTAATCATTGTGGTGGCTTGCAACTAACATGTTTCGGAAGGCAATTGTATAACCCATTTAAAATTTTTACATTTTCAAAGCATTTAAGTGGGAGCTTGGAGGTTATACATTGACGTGATTCATGTCTAAATAACAACCAAAATCATAAGCCAATAATTGTGTAATATAAAATATAACAATAAATGCTTATAAGAATTAGAAAAAATTAATTCTAATAATGCTATTTGGTATGTTTGAAACATTAAACACCATGATTATGGAATTTAGTCACTTCAGGTTATTGGCTGACCCACTGCTATTCGCAGTGTAAATCAACTTATTGTGACTGCGAAAAGCTTCGACAAGCGAAACTCGGGCCGTAGAAATGGAACAATTGGAAGTCCGGCCGATAAAAAACCGCGACTCAAGCGCTCTTAAAGCGCATAAATGAGTTGTTAAGAGATTGCCACACACTTTGCATTGATTGAGGGACTTGCTTTGTTCCCATTCAGGCTATTCGAGGGCCAAGTGCCAAGCGCCAATTTCCAAAGTTCGACTGCCATTGAGGGAAATTCATGGACTGCGGGGTGCTTTGCGGGGCTGACGGCCCAATTTGACACTTTTTATTGAGCTGTTTTGTTTTGTGATCGGTGGAAAAAATTTCAATTTGCTATCCGGATGGGTTGCCAGGGACATGTGCACGCAATCTAAAACTTGTATGACAACGACACTGCCTGCACCCATTGCTTGTGTTTCAATTTGGCCCACCCGCTACGCTGATTGTCTATTTGCCAGGACAAGGACTATGACCAGGACCACATCCACATCCACATCCACATCCGCATCCGAAAAAAGACTAGCTCTTTTCGGGCATATGGAGTGTTTTGTAACTGCAAGCTGCAAACTGCAAACAGGACCACCGCGGAGCGTGTATGAAACACGAAACGCAAATGTTAAATGTCAGTAAGACATGCAAAGATACTGTCACACATTGCGGCCTGTTCGATGGTTGCGGTGGCGGAAAGGATAATGCAGGGCTCCATTAAGTTTGGGCGGCCCCTCGCATTGATTGACTTTCATATATGTGCCGCACGCTGGCAGTCCCTTTGAATCTCGACCTGCAGCCCGGTGCAAAAATCGCTACAAAAAAACCTGCCCTCGTGTGTTATGACAATTTATTGCCAGGTGTTTGACGAAATTGAATGGCCCAGCGTTGGATATTGTTGGCTGGCATCGCTCGCTGCTGATGGAAATGATGGAAATTGGAAATTGAAAATTGTTTGCAGCAAATCGAGTGGCAGCAAAAAGCCCTGAAAGGACTTTTCCAACAATGGTGTAATTGAATTGACTGCCATTAGGCCACATGGCACCTTTGGTTGCTAGAAATGTGTGTGGACTGCTCACTTGTTTAATGATTTCAGATTCAGAATCCGGGACAAATTCAAATTCCCTTCAACTGTCAACATGACCAATCCACGTCTTTTGTTCCCAGCCAGGTCCTTCCCTATTCATGTGAAACTTTCGCATTTCGACAAACAAGAAGTCAAATTGAAAAGTTTTTATTTTGTCAACAGCGGTGGAGGGAAAAAAGCGAAATTTGAAGCCGCGACCGGGAAAGTGAAACAAAGTTGGCGAGTTGTGTTTGCAACTCGAGCAGAACAAATAGCGGCGAACGCAAAGTTAAAGTCGGCAAGTCTCTCTGTTCTCTGCGATCCAATTTAAATTTGATGCTTTCCTTGAGTGGATTACCACATAATTGTGAGATATCGATTGGCAATTAGTTTTGCTGCATTCGCATTATCCGCAGATCTCCCAGATGTCCGAGGATGGTCAAGACAGACGCAGATAAACTGCAGCCTGGGAGGTAATTATTATCCTTAATTATCCACGGATGGGTTGCCAGGCCAAGAAATCTGCCTCGTCTTCATTCATTTGGCCGCTCTGCTTTGCTCCTTGGCGGGCCAATTATGCAAACGCTGGAGCCGACAAAACAAAACAATGCCGAGATAGCGAGAGCTTTCTTTCTTTTTGTCTCAGCTCTGGCGCTCGTTAATTGTAATTGAAGTTTGTAATTAAAAAGTTTATTCGCGGAGCTTGGTCATTAAAACGAAACGATGCCGGCTAATACAACTACTGGATCCTGTGGCTCCAGAAACTGAAACTGGAACTGGGCGATGCGATCCGGGTTCAGGTAGCATTCGCACTCGGCATTAATTTTGATTTAAATGGTGTGTAAACGCTTTTAAACTTTCGAGATTTGTGTGGCCTTGCCTCTGGCACTTTATTTGGCCGCAATTGAGTTATTGGCCTCATTAGCGCCGGCTTTTTGCCCAGGCATGCAGCCCGAAAGCGGATCCGGTTCGACTAATTACCACTCTGATGTATGGGTGGAATGGCTACGTGGCCAGAAATTCTGCGTCAGGACTGCCGGATTGCGCACCTTGTCAGCCATTCAAAGTGGGTATACACCGCACACACCAAACACCATACACCACCCACCACACACCACACACCACACACCACACACCACACACCACACACACGCACTCGTAGGCACACAAAACCTACGAGCAAACGACCTCAACCTAATCATGAATAATGTGCCACATATTCACACAATAAAATCAAGAAAAAGGCAACACAAATATTATAACAAGCAGTCTGGCAGTCGCAGTTCGCCAGCCCTTCGCACTTCTCCCTTCCAGCGATCCTATCAGTCGAAATGTGACATAGTCCACACGCGTAAGGGCCACTGAAGTAGTGCACTGCAAAAAAAATTATTTAAAAATTTAAGTCAGTTCATGAAAAAATTAATTTTAATCTTAAACCAATATATGGCGCACAGCCATAAGAGTGGCTGTTTTATGCAGCTGGTAGCCTATATTATCCATCCCCAACCGAATTTCAGTCTCCGTATTTTTTATCAGGGACAACATCATTATTTTTTACAAAAATTGAAAAATTTTCAACATTTTAAGCTGTGAATAGGAAATTTTAGCATGAATCCAACGATGTTTGACATTCTCACTAAAACATTAAAAAATCTGAAAGGTTTGCTAAGTTTTACAAATAAATAAAATATCCTACAAACGAACTTACACTTGTGCCATATCATTTAATTTTACTTAGAAACATAACCATTTTTCCCAGTGCAAGTATTAAATATGCGTGTCATGTCCATTTATTTGGCTTTGTTGTCACCTTCGGCCATGTTTACTTTTCAATCTCGCCGAACACTCCGCGCTGGGCAAATCGCACCAGGGAACGCCGACATTAGCAGGGCCAATCTGGATAATGCTGGAAACATATTTCGAACGTCTCCCCGATCTCCGTGGCTCGACTTGATTGAATGGGCCTAGACCGGGGCCAGACATCTAAAGTGCACACACATGACTTGCTCGGGCGCATCGCATCCCCCAGCTCCAACACCAGTCATGAGAAAATATTTTTTAGCCCCAGTCGGCTGCTTAATCAGCATTTGTCAAACGAAAAACCTTTCACCAGTTCTCGGCTTGGCTTTGCGCCTGGCCAAAATGACAATGACATTGCAGAGGCTGGCAAATGGCAAATGGCTTTCTCTTTGTGTATATTAGTCTGTGTGTGTGGCTGCTCCGGTTCCTGCTTCTTGACAATGACACCAAAATGCCTGGCATTATGCGGGCTGCTCGCTGCTGGCTACTGGCTGCATTGAGTCCAACGTCAACTGTTTCAGTTGACAAATTTGAGTAAAAAGTAAAAATGTCCCAGCCAGCAGCAGACAAACGACTGTGACTGCGAGTGCGGAATGGTTTTTTGGGGGTATCCAAAGGAGCAGGTGAATCAGCCACCTGGGTAAGCAAACACACAAAGGCGAGTGCTTTTCCCAATGGCAGGTTGGCAAATTTCCATAAATCATATTAACCCACATTTGACATTACCCACCCATACGCCCACCGCCTTTCGCCTTGCCCCCGCCATCCTCTTTCCGGCATTGTTTGCCTAAAAGTTTTCGCTTTGCACATTTGGCATAGTTTTTCCTTCTACGCAACTTTGTGCAGCTTCCCTTCTTGAGGCTTGCACTTATAAATTTCCCTGGAAATCGTTAGCCCGGAGAAAGGTTTTCAGGGCCAACGTTCCTAATGAATGTCGAAGCTCGACGCTCTCAACCTGAAATCGCAAATGAAGGTGCAGGTGAATTATTTAGGTTGAGTGAATATTGATGTACATTATGTGGAACACAGAATATCTTTCACGGACAGAGTAGAGTTCGAATCGCATGCATTTTTTATTATAATTACCCCCGAATAAACAAAATACCCAGCAGATTCACATGCTCAAAGCTCCGGCTTCGGTTGCTTTTGTTGGGTAATAAATCATTTTTATTGTTGGCACTTAAAATGCCATTGTGTTGCAATAAAGTCGCCATAGTAAAACACGAACATGGCCCACTTAAACCTAACGCTGACCCGGTGCTTGAGCCCTAGAGTGCCTTCTAGAGGGCATGAGGAGCCAAATTGAATCGGGATGACTTGGCCTTCATTAGTTTTAATTCTCATTTCGGGATTTGTGTGGAGAGAAATGGTCTTGCAGCCGAGCCTCCTGGGAATTACCCAGGATGCAATCACTTTTTGGCATGACCCCCAAAACGAACTGCTTGCATGCCGTCTTCTCAGGACTCTTCAAGACTCTTTTCGGCCTTCTGACATTACAAATTGCCGCCATACGCGAAATAATGCTTTGCTATTTGTACAAAATGCTAATTTGATTAATCCGCGTTTCAGTTTTATGAGGCCGCGCTTGTTTTGCGTCGCATTAAATCCATTTTTCAGCTGACTCGCGTGCCATGTCCCGAGCAAAAGCCGAATGCCAAGCGCCGAGCTGGTACCGAATGCTCCACATCTGCCGGCCAGGACGAGCGAAGCGGCTAAGGCCAGCTCCCAATTAGGATAATCGTCGGCGGGAAATGTTAATTTAAATGTGAATGATTGTGGCTCCTGTGTTTCTGATTCGAATTCTTTTTCTGCTTCTGTTGACTTTGTTGCTCTGGACTTTCGTGTTGCCGGTTGCGTGCTGGAATACATGTGTTTGGGGGCGCGGAAGTTGCGGCGATTGTGTAACCGCTTGGCTGAGCTTGATTCCGAATTGGAATCTCTCGTGACTGGCGGCCATGCGTGGGGCATTGATAGGCTACTAGCTCGAGGAGGATCTGCGCTCTTCCTCCTGCTCCTGCTCGCCGAAAATGCCACGTTGAGCCTGAGACAAATCGCACCAGTCCCTAACAGCCTTTCTCCGGATCGAGAATATCGATGCCTGGCTGTCGATCTCCTGGTACAAGTCCAGGAATTTGCGAAAGCCAATCGTTGGCTGAACGGCCGTGATCTTTGGCATCCGTTTGGCAGGAATATTGATAACTGGTTCCGCCTGGTAGACAGAGATCGGGTCGCAGATTTGCGACTTACGGGATGGCTTCGCCTTAGTCTTCTTTTTGGCCACCTTTTTAATAGGTTTAGCTTTCTTTAGACGCTTTTTGGCCGTTGTCGTGGGTAGACGGGGTTTTCTAGGAACCACATGACTTGGCTCATCCATTACCATATCGGAAACAGGACAGCTCTACAAAATGAAATAATGGTTGTAATTTTAAGTTTCAAGCTTACAGGTTTACCTACCAGCTGGGCATTTTGCATCCTTTGAACCTGCGAAAATGTTCCCCAAACACGGGCTGCATTCAGAAGGGCATCGTTTGGCAACATTTCACAGAGCTGCCTCGAATAGATCTGCAGAAAGTTCCTGTACGCCTGTACTGACCGCTCCTCTGGTCGACGGGAATGGTTGCCCATCTCAAAGAACTTATAATTTGGCTTTTTTTTTTTAACAAAAAATGCAAAAATACGAAAATGTATCACTTTCATACGAGTATAACGTTAACTGATTTCAACAAGATTCAACAATTTGACAGATAATTTATGTTTGACACATTAAAAATATAACTTGTTCAAACATTTCTTATTTGTACTCTTTGTTAAGATGTTATTAAATTTAAATCACTTAAACATGAAATGTTCTCACATTCTTAAGCAGGTCAGAATGTGCTCAAGTGCGATGTATTTATATTTAATACACTAAGAACCACATTCAAACCCTAAAGCAACTGCTGTGATTATAACGCTTGAGTTTTAAGACGAAACATGAGCAAAGTACACTTTTCATAATTAAAGAGCTTCCTGCTACAAACATTGGTGATTGTGAGACGGCCTCCACAGCTCCTTCTTGCCAATCTTATCGCTCGGCTAACGAACTAACGCCATTAGCCAACGCGGCTGGTGCGACAACCACTGGATACGTAATAAAAAAAAAGGGCAACAACCGGACATTAGGCTTTTGGTCAAGGAAAAGGGCCGGGACGAGGTGAAGCCTAATGAAATTCCTTGGAAACATGTTCTCGCCTGATAAGCAGCCATTGGTCAATTGGCCAGGCAGCCCACCTCGAAATGTGCAGCACACAGGCAATGCCGCGGAAACGAGCGTGACGTGGTACGCAAAACGCGATCTCGAACCCCAAAACAAAAAGAAAAGCAAGCCAGTCTGCCGCACGAAATATGAAAAAGTGCAGAGGCGAAAAGTCAATGTCGTTTGCAATGCAGCGCTGTAAATTATTTTACATGGCCGACTTAAGGCCAAATGGAAGGAGTGGGCCAAATGAGGCGACACCCCAGCAGGAGCTTTCACAGCAAACCCCAAGGCAGAATTGCTGCCCGGATGGGCCTCACTTTCAACAAGATCCCACTGCTGAAGCGGCTGCAGATTGCAGTATGCATACACCTGGCGGAACAGGGTGACCTGACGGTTTAAAGAAAGAATTTATTCAGTTCCTACATTTTTAAAAGGGATTGATATATCGGTAATAACGAAATTTCTTTAATAAATCTAAAATGCTGCCAAAAGCTTTTCGAAAAAGAAAATAAAATGGATTAAAATTATTTTTGCTAAAAAGAAGACAAATCGGGAGGGATGAGCTTAAGCAAAATTTAATTTTTACAATTTTAAGTGTCTTAAAAGCTTTTTGGAAAAGAAAATAAAATATTTTCGTTTATTTTCCTATACCTATACTCACACTTAAATTACATTTTTTTAACAAGGCCAAGTAAAACTTTCTTAATATAATTATTTGCCGACCTTTTGTCAAGGCTCAATAAGCAGAAAATTTATACAAATGAAAACGAAATTTCGTGCTTTATAGGAGTTTTCTCGAAGCAAATCAATTTGGCTTGGTGAGCGTAAACACAATTTTTAGTTCCTCGTGCACAAAATATTTTCTTTATTGTGGTAAGATTGTTTGCCGTGCAAATCCACGTGTTCAAGTACCCTGCCGCTGCACCTGTCCCAACTTTCTGGCATTTATCTCTGTGAAAAGGAATCGCTCAACGCCCGGGAAACGTTGAAGCCAAGTTGCGGCGGTATGGGCTTCATTGTCTTAGCCAGGAGTGGGTGGGGGGTGGTCCGAGTGGTAACCACCGCAGAGCAGCGTTTCCGCCGCGGATTCCTGTGCAGCGAGTCCTGGGCGCCGCTCCCTTGGCTTTGTGTATGCAAACAAAGTACGAGATAAACTTTTGTTCTGCCTGAACTTTGTCGCGGCTGGGTGTTTGTGGGCTGCTTCTACAGCTGTCGTTGTTGCTGCTCTCGCATTATAATTTCAGCTCGCTTTCGCACAATTCCTCCCGTCTTTGTCCGCGCTTTATGAAAATGAGTTAAACATTATACGAATCTCTGGGGCAAGTTTGGGAAATTGTTTTTAAATTTACCACCAGGCCCCAGTACTGTGTCGGCTTTGGTTGCCGTCACACGAGCGGCGGCGAACCGAATTGAAAACGGCAAGAACAATATGTCATTAGAATATAAATTGAAATTGACGGCTCAACTTGTTTGTTTTTCGGTCACAACTTCTTTGCGGCACGCAGACAGGGGAACTGTCATTGGTTTTGCATGTTGCAGGTTGATTAAAAAACTATACGAGAGTGTTCCACTCACGTGCCGCACGCAGGCGGTGGCGAAATGTGCCAGCCATAGACATACTTTTCCAATTTACCCTCACCATCACCATCGCCATCGCCATCGTCGAAGCGGACTGTGCGAAATGAGCCACTCAAAGCAATCAGGCAGACACATCTTTGGCCCCACCCAATCACTCAGCCTCACCCGCTTCCGGTCGAGAATCCCATCCCGCAATCCTCACCAGCCATCAGCGCCATGAATTATGCAAATCTCTTGCGGCCAACTCAACGCAGAGGCGAGGCTGGAAAAAAATCAAACAAAATCGATTGATGTACAAATTTTTCTTAGCATCCGCAAACAATTTGCTCCAAAGGAGCCTGCCTTTTGATTTGTGCGTCAATGACGGGCACGAGTGGGGAGAGATGCTGTCTTGTCCTGGCGGCCTACTCCTAAATTATGTAGATTTGTTTTAGCATAATGCCTATGCTCTAGCAGGGGTGTTGTCCGGAAAGAGTGTGTGTTAGGAGCAGGGATCCTACGGCAGCAGCAATTTTTTGTATTTTTCTCGGCTGCAACGTTTTAAACCGCCATTAAGTTGCCTCCATAAATATCAGGCTGGCCCGCCCCGCCCCCACTCTCCGCCAGAAGAATTATGTAAATTCACCGCCCACAGCCTATCCGTAGCGTTTCATTGAATTATTGTGCGTTGCCCGGACAACCGATGGTCCACCGGACTGGCCTTTTCCTTTTCAGCATATTCCCGTTGCCATAGTTGGCACTGTGCGGTTGCCTTTGAGACCGGGCAATATATGAAATTCTTTAGTTTTCTCTCTGTTTGCCTCGGCTAATTTAATTTACTGGCATTCTCTGCACAATTTAGTTTAATTTGCCGGACATCCGCTTTGATTGGGGCAACACAACTTTTCCATCGGCCATTGTTAAAACTTGCATTTTTAGCAATAACTGTTGGAGGAATCAAATCAGTTGAAAATTAATTTAATTCGCACTTGAACGGCAAACTTTGGCCGTAGCTGGCATGTAGCTTTATGATTTGCTTGCGTTTGGTTCCTTTGCCAACGAAAAAAGCGAGAATACCGAGCTGCAAAATTTTAATTATAAAAGTTTTGATCTTGCTCGCCTTGACGCCTGCTTGCCTGACTGACTAACTGACTGACTGACTGGCTGACTTTTTCCCACTCCAGTCTGCGGATTTTCAAGCGGCTAAAGTAAGTGCAGTCTGCACTTTGCCAATTTCACCAATATTAATTATGATTTCATTTTCGTTAGTTAACAGTTTTTTCCAGCGCTGCTTTATTGCTTTTACGCTTCTTTCAAATGAATACCAATAGCAGTGGCAATGGCAACGGGAGGGATGCTCAAGTGGGGTAAGTGAAAGAGTTTCCTTGTGGCGCAACTTAATTAATTTTACATTGCTTCGAGTGCACTGCTCCCTGGCTGTCAGAAAAGTGTTCAAATGATAAACGAGCTAATTAATATGCGCCAAAACTTGTCCCTCGGCCAACTACTACTGGCCGTGGTAATGGCCAATGCAAATAGCTGGAAGGAGTCGCTTGTGGCTGGCCAATTATGCGATATGATTTGCGCAAGTTGCGCAGCATATTTCTGCGAAATGTGCCATTTTCTCGGGGCAGTTCAACGACACAGCTTGCATTAAAATTCATGTGCAATATATATTGGGACTTGCATGCATAATGGTCACTAAGTTTGCGCGCTGCAAAGTTGGTCGGGGGTATCAAGTGGACCACCTACAGCCACCCCCTGCAACATGCAAATACCTACGTGGGCAGGAACAATTGGAAACTGAAAACTGAAAGCTGGAAACTGGAAACTGGCTACCAGTAACTGGCATCCGGACATCCTCTGCGTTCCGTTCCAAATGAAACTTGCAACGGTGGCATCCGCCTGCCTGTATAAAAACGCAGCTCAAGTAGTTTGTGTGCCCCATGAAATTTCATGCATAAACTTTTGCCAAATGCAAAACTTTTAATAATTTAAACCGTGCACGTATGGCGACGTTCCTGGTCAGCGTTTGGGTTCATGAAAGAGCTTAGAAGAGCTCCAGGCAAAGTCCTCGCAAAAGATCGACAAAAAAGGACCCAGCATTTCCATCGATGATTATGTATTTTTAAATAAATTTGCAAAAATTTGCGAGTCGGCTGACTGGCAGAAAAGAAGTGACATATTTAAATTTCATACTTAGAGTTTGCATTATGGAAGGAAAATACTTGAGGGACTCTTCGAAGTTGTAATACTTTAAGAGCCTCTCCAAGACATTTGTTATACCAATTTGTACTCTTTATTGGCATGTCCAATTGCGATTTTTGCAGAGGTAGTTTTAAAATCGAAATAATAATAATAATAATAAATTCTGAACAGTCCTTAAGTTTGATACTCACAGAGAAATAATAAAATATACTACCCCTTTTCTTGTTTGGCAAAGCTAGGAGGAATGGGAAGTTGATAGCCAGCTGAATTCTTATACGAATCGAATAAATAAAACACATTGACACAGTTTAGTTTACATCTAATGCTTTATTTTATTTTTGAATATTTTAGGGTTTCTTAAGCGCATTAATCATACAATTAGCATCGTACTATGTAATTAGTAAATAATGAATTCACTTTCAATGAACACGAACGGTTCACGTGCTTATCTATTTCTGGCTTACTTGAAATATTCTTGTATTTAGGTTCAGATTAGACATTGGATCATTTCGCCACCGTTAATCTGTGTATTCTGTAGTATCGCCTTCGATTTCTTCTGCAATCAACTGGCTATTAAAGGTACACACACATACACATTTATGTAGATAAATTGTAACGCTTTTATTTGGTTTTCAATTCAATTCGATTCGGTTTTCAGTGTTTTATTTCGGCTTTGGCTTCGTTCGACATGCTAGATACAGGAGTTGAATACGAGTTCGAGGGGCCG